GTTACATATGCTTCAGGTTACATACGCTTCAGGTTACAGACTCCGCTAACCCAGAAATAGTGCTTCAGGTTAAGAACTTTGCTTCAGGATGAGAACAGAAATCATTATCCAGCGGCGCAGTGGCAGCGGGAGGCCCCATTAGCTAAAGTGGTGCTTCAGGTTAAGAACAGTTTCAGGTTAAGTACGGACCTCCGGAATGAATTACCGTAAGTACTTAACCTGAGGTACCACTGTAGTTGCATTTTACAGTATTTATATACTGCTTTCCAAGCAGACCTCACAAAATGGTTTACGTAATATTATTACAACAACAGCAACAAAAGTGACAATACAATGGGTAGGATGACTTGTTTGTTTAGTGCTTGCTGCTGCTTCTCCACTCAGAGCAAGTAGATGGGCCTGTCAGAGAGGCCACTAGGGCAGCTGGATGGTGAGAGTCCCTCATGCTCAGTTATTTGAACTGCTTAATCCATGCACTTCTGGGCTCTTGCAGATCAGCTGAACTACCATAGCATGTCTCCAAGGGACACTGCTGCTGCTGATCAAGTTAGGGAGAAGAAGGTACGTCTCAGGTGAATGCAGGAGACTCTGTCCTCGCTGTGGGTTAAACCGCAGAGCCTAGGACTTGCCGATCAGAATGTCAGCGGTCCGAATCCCGTGATGGGGTCAGCTCCCGTTGCTTGGTCCCTGCTCCTGCCAACCTAGCAGTTCGAAAGCACGTCAAAGTGAAAGTGGATAAATAGGTACCGCTCCGGCGGGAAGGTAAACGGCATTTCCGTGCACTGCTCTGGTTTGCCAGAAGCGGCTTAGTCATGCTGGCCACATGACCCGGAAGCTGTACGCCGGCTCCCTTGGCCAATAAAGCGAGATGAGCGCTGCAACCCCAGAGTCAGCCACGACTGGACCTAATGGTCAGGGGTCCCTTTACCCTTTACACGAAAAATTACTTTCTAACATTCAGCTTCATTGGATGCCCAAAAGTTCCAGTGTTATGAGGGAGGGAGAACAACTTTTCTCTATCCACTTTCTCCATGCTTAGTCATGCTGGCCACATGACCCAGAAGCTGTACGCCGGCTCCCTCGGCCAATAAAGTGAGATGAGCGCCGCAACCCCAGAGTCGTCCGGGACTGGACCTAATGGTCAGGGGTCCCTTTACCTTTACCTTTTACTAAATACAGAAATCTGAATGAATTAGGCCTCTAAGGCCCAAAGGAGACATGCTGCTGGTCACACAGTTGCACTTTCTTTGGCAAACAGACCAAGGGACACCCACAGGACAACAAAGCGGGGAGCTTAACCCTTTGCCTCCTGTCTTGGCTCCCGGTCAAAATGTGCCACACTCCTCTCCAACAATTCACAATGGGAGAAACTGTCCAACTATACAAAGGGAGTTTTCCTCAGACTGTGATTAGCCAGGGTGGGGTAGGGTGTTGATTGTGATCCAGCTTCACTGGATCTCCACCAGCTCCAGTGTTACAAGACAGGGAGAAAAGCTTTTCTCCATCCGCTTTCTCCAAGCCATGCCTAACACATGTCATATCACCTCTCGCTTGCCCTTTCTGTAAACTAAAACATCCCAAGTGTTGTAGCTTTTCCTCAAAGAAGAGTCACTCTACACCCTTGGCCATTTTGGTTGCCTTTTCCAAACTTTTCCCAACTCGACAAGATCCTTTCTGAGGTGAAACAACCAGAACCAGGTGAAACAAACAACTGTACAGTGGTACCTCGGGTTAAGTACTTAATTCGTTCCAGAGGTACGTTCTTAACCTGAAACTGTTCTTAACGTGAAGCACCACTTTAGCTAATGGGGCCTCCTGCTGCCGCTGCACCGCCGAAGCACAATTTCTGTTCTTATCCTGAAGCAAAGTTCTTAACCTGAAGCACTATTTCTGGGTTAGCAGAATCTGTAACCTGAAGCATATGTAACCTGAAGCGTATGTACCCCGAGGTACCACTGTATTCCAAATGCGGTCACACCACAAGGCATTATGTTATCAGCCGATTTATTTTCCTAATGATCCCTAGCATGGAATTTGCCTTTCCACAGCCACTGTACACTCGATTGACATATTCACTGAGGTATCTGCTACAGCCCCATGGTCTTGTTCCTGGTCAGTCACCACTTCTTTGTTATGACTAGAATATAAATGTAGTCTATGTGATGGTAGCTGACGTCACCCATTACAACATTTCCTCTTTTGGACACTTCCTCAATTTCATTCTTCATCTGAAGATCTCCTTGAGCAGGGAGCATGATAGCATGTCTCCAGAACTAAATTACTCTTGGGTCCCCATATGACCATGCACAATGATTCTCTGAAGGAGTCTGCCCCTTTGGGGCAGTGTTAGAAACTCAGATATATCAGCTAGGTGCCAAATGGCTCATTGAACCAAGGTTGCAGTCACCAAAATGGAACGTCTAGTTGCCATTTGGGGGCAAGATAGCTCTAAAGTCTTATTTTTCAAATGATGGACTGATTGTGATTGATTCTCAGTTAAACATCTGGCTAGTTCAGATGACAACCTCGAGTTAGGCTTAGAGCTTTGAGAACTTAAAGAAGAAAAGTCCCTTAATCCAGGGACAGTCCACATATATATTGGCCTATTCCGACCTCTTTTTCTTAATGGTGGCTGCTCCTGTTCAGGCTGCACAGAAAAAGCATTTGGGTTCCAGAAATTCATTCCGATTGTGCAGATAAAATGTAACTACAGTGGTACCTCGGTTTATGAACTTAATCCATTCCAGAAGTCCGTTCTTAAACCAAAGCCATTCTTAAACCGAGGCGTGCTTTCCCTAATGAGGCCTCCATCCACCATTCAGCTTCCATTAGTAGACTGAGGTAAAGTTCACTAACCGGAACACTACTTCCAGTTTTGCAGAATTCGTATACCGAATAGTTCATTAACAGGGCTGTTCTTAAAGTGAGGTACAGTAGTACCTCGGGTTACATACGCTTCAGGTTACAGACTCCACTAACCCAGAAATATTACCTCGGGTTAAGAACTTTGCTTCAGGATGAGAACAGAAATCGTGCTCTGGCGGCATGGCAGCAGCAGGAAGCCCCATTAGCTAAAGTGGTGCTTCAGGTTAAGAACAGTTTCAGATTAAGAACGGACCTCCGGAACAAATTAAGTACTTAACCCGAGGTACCACTGTACCACTGTTCTACAATTCTATGTGATGGGGTATTAGTGTATGAAAACAGTCCAGATCCAATGATCCCCAGGCATGCACTTCCAGGTAGTGGAAATGTCAGCCCCATCCTGGCACCCAGGAATCCTCACCTGGTCGCAAGTGGTCAAAAGCCAGATACAAAATGCACCTGGCACGTGACTAATTGTGAACACTGCTTTGGGGCATTCTAGCTTGCTGGACTCAATGCCCTCTTTGGCATTCAGAGCAGCAACACCTCCAGTATATCCTTCCCTTTCCTTCCTATAGAAGGTTATACCTAGACACAGCTGTATTCCCCTGACACTTTCTACCCCAAAGTTTCCATTATGCTCACTATATCAATTCCACCCTCTAAGGCCAAGGACTTCAGTTCATCCACTGTGGCTCAGAGACTGCACTCTCCTTACAAGACTCCAGTCCTGAAGTTGCAACCTCAAGAGGTAGCATGTGGCATGAAACACTATTCATCAGCTTCCGCTGATGTGCCAGCTGCACCCCATCTTAGACACAGATAACCTTGTCATGTTTACCCATGCACGGATGGCATCCAAGCTAGACTTCTGCAATGCATTGTGTGAAGCTATCTCTGAAGAATGTTGAGGAACTCCATTCAACAGCCAGATTGTAGTTCGGTTTAGCCAGAGTGGAATTTTTTGACCGCGTTAAAAAGAAAAAAGAAAAATCTGTACTGTACCGGCTTCTTCTTAGCATTCCAAATGCAATTCAAATGCAGGTTCCAACATATAAAGCTCTGGAGAGCTTAGTATCATGGTTTCCAAACACTCATCTTCTCCGATATGACCATGCCCATTCCTGAAGTCAGGGTTGGGGAATCCCTGATGATGTTGGTCTACACCTCCCATCATCCCAGATCACTGGTTCTGATGGGAGATCAACATCTGGAGAGTCATAGGTTCCCTGTTCCTTTCTTAACAGCATAATCTGAAGACGTCCATGTTCAGAGGTTAGAAAGGTGGCAAACTGGAACAGGGCCTTTTCTGTAATGGTGATTCTACTGCAAACTACCCTCCCTAGAAATATTCATTTGGCACCTCCTACTCCTCTATCTTTTAGGTGAATTCAGTGGTGTGTGTGTTTTTTAAGTCTATCTTTTTTCTGCGCTGTGTGTGTGTGTGTGTGTTTCAAAAAAAAGTGGCTATCAAAGTTTTAACTAACATATATTGATATCGGTATTGTGTTATCAGCCCTTTTTCAAAAATCACCATTATAAGTCATGTTTATTTGCCTGTTGCTTATTCCTCCTGAGGAAAAGCACTAGGAAGGAACAAGGGTAACTTTCTAGGTTTCAGGAAGTCTCAAAGGGGCTTCACCGTGGAACCCCATTTTTATATATTTATGCTAGCCCCACTTAGAGCAATGCAGTTAGTAAACATGACTAACTTAGGTTCGCTAATTTCAATGAGTCTAGCTATAGGTTAGGTAGCCGTGTTGGTCTGCTGTAGCCGAAACAAAACAAAAAAAATCCTTCCTGTAGCACCTTAGAGACCAACTAAGTTTGTTATTGGTATGAGCTTTTGTGTGCATGCAGGGTATCTGAAGAAGTGTGCATGCACAAGAAAGCTTGAGCCCCAGAACCTCTCTGATGCGACGGTGGTGGGGTTTTCTTTTCAACGTGCCGTTGGCGACGCTGCCAAGGGCGGTTCTCCCAGCGGACAAAGTTAAGGGAGGTTTCGCGATGCGGTTGGGGGAGTTTGGTGGGCGTCAGCAGGCGGCGGGGGGGGGATCCCTCTCCTCCTCCTCCCCCTCATCCCTTCCTCCCAAGCAGGTAAGCTCCTGCCCCTTCACTCACTTGTCCAGGACGAAGTACAGGTCGTAGGCTCCTTTGCACGAAGGCTCCTCCTGGCCGTGAGCCGCCAGCAGCAACAGCAACAACGGCACTAGCAGCGCAAGCCAAGCCGGCGCCGCCTGGCCCAGCGGATCCGAGGACCAGCTCCTGCAGCAGCCCGGCCCGGCCTCGCTCAGCCTCCTCCGGCCCCCCATGCCTCCTTCTTCTCCCTCTTTGCAAACTGCCGAAGTTTCCTGGCTTGCAGAAGCGGAGAGAGAGAGCGCCCTGGAGGAGAGAGGGCTGGACGGGGCGGAGAGCCGAGAGCCGAGAGCGCGCCGAGGACAAAGGGGAGTTGCAGCAAACTCTGCACAAATCCCGAGAGGAGGAGAAATCTCCCACCCTGGAGGGCTGGACAAACAATAGAGGCTGCAAAGAGAGAGAGAGGCGGCTGGAGGAAGCGCAAACGGAGCCCCCGTGCGCTCTGTGCCGGGCAGGCGCGCCTTCCCCCCGGTTCTGCCAAGCCTCCTCGGCCGCCGCTTGTTGCTTCCTTCCCCGCTACAAAGTATTGATTGCCACGCCGAACCACCAATGGCGACCCGAAAGCCGGCCGAGAGAGGAGATCCGCGGAGAGAAAACTTTGCGCGCGCGCGCCTGGACGTCTTTCCTTTCTGGGTTCTGTCCTCCCTCTCTCCCTTCTGCTGCTGCGTCTCCTATTTTCTCTCTCTCTCTGTGCGTGTTTTTGCAATCCCTTTCCTTGACCTTTTATGGCGCGAGGCAGATGTTGTGGTGACTAATTTTCTGTGATTGATGATTGCCAGAGGAGAAGAAGGGGAAGAAGAGGTTCTCCCCACCCCAAAGCCAGCGTCTTTTCCGGGGTCTTTTCCTCAGCCCCCTTCCAAGAGGCCGAGAGTGGCCTTGGCCAGCGTGGCCGGATCCTGCCTGCGACTCGTCTTGCTTCGGGAAAGGAGGTTTTTTTCAGAACCTAGCAGAGCGTGTGGTTTCACGGCGCGCGTTCAGATTTGCCAAAAGCAGACGCGCTTTTGTTTTTTTACAGGGGTGGCGAAAAAACATCGGTTACTCCAGCCTGACTATATCTGCTTCTGCAAAAGGCCTCAAGGCTCCAATCGCACCTCTGCAATAAACTCTCTTCAGGGTTGCCATTGTGGTTGCCCGTGGGCACAGTGGCGACCTTGGGGTCTTGCCCTGGTGCCCACAAGGACTCTAAGCCCCACTCACTTCCCCTGACCCTGGGACATGAGGAGCTGAGAGGAGTGTGCCTTTTTTTTTGCCCCTGGAAAGTATACAAAAGTTGAGCAGGAAGTTTGAAGAGTAACACTCTCCCCCCACCCCACACCCTTAGTTCTTCACCTCTGTGCTTTTCAAGGTTCAGAGTACAGTGGTACCTCAGTTTAAGTACTTAATTCGTTCTGGAGGTCCGTTCTTAACCTGAAACTGTTCTTAACCTGAAGCACCACTTTAGCTAATGAGGCCTCCCGCTGCCACCGTGCCGCCGGAGCATGATTTCTGTTCTCATCCTGAAGCAAAGTTCTTAACCTGAGGTACCATACTATTTCTGTGTTAGCGGAGCCTGTAACCTGAAGTGTATGTAACCTGAAGTACCACTGTAATTCTGCTGAACCTGGCATTTGCCCAGATCCCATGGGAAAGAGAAGTATGTATGCAAACTTGCTTCCTTTTGGAACATGATTTAGAATGGAGAACAAAAACATTTAGAAATACGGTCCAGACTTATGAACTAAAACGAGACTGAAATAAATAGTTCTTTGAGGCCTGTTAACAAACAAATAGCCAAACATTTTTGTTGAATGAAAATTGTATACCACCTTTCATTCAAACATCTCAGAGGGGGTTCGCAACGTGAAAAGACAAAATAAAAAGTACATAATGATAACGGGAACAAAACAAAGCCACACCATCCCCAAACACATTTAAAAGGACATAGAATGTTCATCAGCCAAAGGTCTGGGAGAAGAGGAACGTTTTGGCCTGGTGCCTAAATGTGTATAATGAAAGTGTCAGGTGAGCCGCCCTGGGGAGAGCATTCCACAAAAACAGGGAGCCACTGCAGAAAAGGCCCATTCCTTTTGTTGCCACCAGACCTCTTGTGGAAGTAGCACACGAGGAAGGGCCTCAGGTGATGACTGCAGGGCCTGGGTAGGTTTATTTGGGGAGAAGCAGCCCGTGAGGTATTGCTTCAAGAGTACAACCTAGCCCCGCAGAGATGAGGTCACCAGCCCATCCATTAGCCAAGCTGAGCCCACTGTCTCAGATGGCAGATCAGGATGGACAGCAGATCAGAGTCCTTCCTTCACACAACTACAGTGGTACCTCGGGTTAAGTACTTAATTCGTTCCGGAGGTCCGTTCTTAACCTGAAACTGTTCTTCACCTGAAGCACCACTTTAGCTAATGGGGCCTCCTGCTGCCGCCGCGCTGCCGGAACACAGTTTCTGTTCTCATCCTGAAGCAAAGGTCTTAACCCGAGGTACTATTTCTGGGTTAGCGGAGTCCGTAACCTGAAGTGTATGTAACCCGAGGTACCACTGTACACCATGCCATCACCTGGCTGGCTGACCAACTGTCTAGCCGTGTTGCCATAGCCAGTCGACCAGCTACAAGACCGGCAGTTGTTGCCTAAGACTCTAGGCAACAGAAAGGACACCCCAGCCCTTTGTCAGAGCTTGGCCCTGCTGCTGTGAAACTTGAAACAGTGGTTGCTACTGTACTCTGGTGGCAGCAACAGGCCCAGTCTAGCACCACCTCACCCATAATGCCTTACTTCAAGGAAGGGATGTTCCTAAGAGATGGAAATGGGAGAGATGGCTCCAGAGGAATATGAGGGAATGTATATTTGAACCCTTGTAAGCTCTGCGCAAACGTTAAGCGCTATTGTTATTGATATGTACCTGGCTCATTCGGTCCCAAAGGATGCCACTCAATTAAAACATCTGTGCAAAGTCAAATCTAAACACAGATGCTATTTAATTTAGCAGACGAGACAGACACAGCACCATTTTCACACTATCCAAGGCTGATACTTGGGGAGGTAGGAAGGCCACACAGCTATGGGTGGGTAAGTGGTGGAGATCTTCATGGAAAGCAACCATATATACCCTTGAGATACCAGACAGTGGGGATCAGTAGAGGCCTGCATTTATTTCAGTGCAGGTTTTGTGTTTCTTGTGAAACCTTTGTATCAAAAGCGTGATTGTAAACAATGGCGATCATATAAAAGAATGCTCAGGGTCTCATATGTGGTTCTCCCTCCAAGCTTTTGATGCTCAAAACAGCCCTGCGGGGCACATTAGACAGAGGTGAGAGTGTCAGCCTAAGATCACCCAGGCAGTTTTGTGGCAGACTGGGGATTGAACCTGTGTCTTGCTGGGCCTAGTCCAATTGTCTAAGCACAATTGATTGTTGAACTGAGTCCTAAGCAAAGGCTTGCTTCTCTCTTTTTTTCCTGGCTCTAAAGTTAGAAGCCAGAACTTTGACTTGGGCCCAGAAGCTAATTTCTAGCCAGTATAGACCCCTCAACACATATATTGAGACAGGGAGTGGGGGGGAACCAGTGGTAAGCCATAGCCTAGTACTGTCAACAAACTGTCAATTCAACTCCAGCTCATTTCCAAGCAAAAAATGTCAGAGGCGCTGTAATTAGAACTGCCTAGGATAGAAAGTCCTGAGAACTTGCCAAGCAAATGCTCTGCCGTTGCATTACAGTCCCTCTTTTAATATTTTCCATCATATTTTGTCCCCATCACACTGCTGCTGTAAAAAGCTAAGAGTGTGTAAAAGCACACAAGTATTTCCTACACCAACCCCTGTGGTTGCTTGTGGTGCTCATCACACACACACACACACACACACACACACACACACACATATATCCTTGTGCAATTTCAGACCCCTTATTCTGGGGATTTTTCCAGACTCCATTTATGGCAACATTTTTTTACTTATTGCACTGTACAGTGGACGCTTGGGTTTAAACGTGATCCGTGCGAGATGCAAGTTCGCAACCTGCAGCGGTGCATCTGCGCACGTGTGGGTTGCGATTTGGCACTTCTGCACATGCGCTACCACCGAAACCCAGAAGTAACCCGTTCCAGTACTTCCGGGTTTCGGCGGTCCATAACCCGAAAAAACACAACCTCAAGCGTCTGTAACCTGAGGTATGACTGTACTTCCTCTGGTAGTGTCATGTAAACCTGCCATGTGGTATTGATGGGAATGGCTTTGATGTGGCAGAAATCGTTTGACACCCCACCATCCTGGGGGCCCCAATTCCAACTCAACAATCCCATGAGCCACACCTACACCACTTTTGACCTCTGACCTCAAGCATGTGGGTGTGGCATTTGAAGGAAATGCTGTCCGGGACCTTGGAGAACTTTTAGTTAACAAGTGGCCAATAAGTCCAAATAATAACTATACCCACCATCTTATTTTACTCATGAGATTGTCAGGTTTTTGGTTGTTTTTATAAGTGCTATTTTCAAGAGTGCGCAACACAGACCTCTGCATCTGTGCATAATGTCAAAGTCCTTTTCCTCTTCATCATTTTTTTTTGGGGGGGGATCTCAGTAGGGCTTTCTCAGCAGTGGCACCCTCCCTGTAGAACGCCCTCCCATCAGATGTCAAGGAGATAAAGAACTACACAACTTTTAGAAGACATCTGAAGGCAGCCCTGTATCAGGAAGTTTTTTATGTTTGGCGTTTTACTGTTTTTATATGTGTTGTAAGCCACCCAG